GTAAGTTAAAAAAACAGTTGCTTGCCGTTCTGTGTAAAACAGTCTTAAATTACTTTTTAAATGCCCCAAATATTGATTTTAAAAGCCCTTGATTTTTCAGAAGCATAATTTACCCTTTTGGAAGTTTCAAATCAACCTCAAGAAGATATAAAATTATTTATGCTACACTACAGAAGGCTTATTTATTACACAAAAGGTGCCAACATCTGGTGTTTTCCTTACATTTAGTTCTAAAACAAATAAACTAATTTACTCTGATGACTGAGACAATACAATATCAGGGCTCATCCATTTTTCTTGCAGTCTCTCTAAAGCATTCAATATTTTTTCAACTGAAATAAATTATGTAGGCCTCAAATTTTGATGAGAATTTTAGTGTGAACATTGATCTGTTTTTGTACCAAATGAAAGATCTTTAAAATCAACTTTGGTTTTTGAGAGTAAAAGTACTTGGAGTTGGTTTTTACGTTTCATAGGAATTACATCCTCAGTATTTGTATGTTGAATTAGTTAGGCCTTTCTTGTCTCAGATTTCCAGTGGTAGCTAGTTTACTTCAAACTACTGACCATGATCCCCTTGAGCCAAGTGGAATATATTAACTCTTTTAAAGCTCTAAGAAACCATTGGTTAGGTTAAAATTCATGAGAATAACATCATGGGCTTCCCTGGTGACTCAGTGGTAAAGAATCCACTGCCAATGCAGAAGATGTAGGAGACACGGGTTCAATCCTTCTGTCAGGAAGATCCTCTGGAGAGGGAAATGGTAATCCACTCCAGTATTCTTGCCTGGACACTGGAACTTGGCAGGCTATGGTCCATATGGATGCAAAGAGTTGGATATGACTGAAATGACTTAGCACGCATTCATGTACATGTTATCAGTAACATTATGTTAGAAGCACCAATCTATGTAAGCAATTTGTTCTTAATTATTTCTTCATAGGATATGACTTAATAAAAATGGCTTATTCTGTAATAACATTTCTCTTGTCAAATACTGAGAAGAGAATTGGAAAGCAAACAAGTGGAGAGACATAATCCATAGATTATGAACTCATTAATTCAACAAGTAATCATGGAATGCTAATTATAGTCCAGGTATTGTCACAGGTGCTGGGAACATCTTTATCATCTACAATAAGTCATTTATTGATACATTCTTAACTATTCCCTTATATTAGGCTATTTATTCACAAATAAGATGGTATTCACTCCACTCCTAAATATTCCCTTAAAAAGTATTCTTATTAAACATTCTTTCCCTCTGGGCTAAAAATATCACTTACACATGTAACATCTTATTTTTCTCCTTAACTATGGATTCAACCAGAAAAGCACCAGGATGCTTAAAACTTCCTGTAAAGAAAATCCTTCCCCAGGCTTCCCTGGTGGCTCAATGGTAAAGAATCTGCCTGCCAATGCAGGAGACACGGGTTTGATCCCTGGTCTGGGAAGATCCCACCTGCCACGGAGCAACTAAGCATGCACACTGCAACTATTGAGCTTGTACTCTATAGAGCCTGGGAACCACAACTACTGAGCCCACATGCCCTAGAGCCCAGTGCTTCCCAACAAGAGAAGCTACCACAATGAGAAGCCCAAGCACCACAACTAGAAAGTAGCCCCTGCTTTCTGCAACTAGAAAAAAGCCCCCATAGCAATGAAGACTCAGCGCAGGCAAAAATAAATACAAACCTTTTAAAAAGCTGGAAGAAAAATATGTGTAATAAGCCATTGGGAAAAAAGAAATCCTTCCCCAAATAACCTTTACTATGATGCTTGCAATCACAAAAAATGTTCTGAATTTCCTTCTCCCTAGGCACATTTGAAACCTGTACAAGTGACTATTTTGAAAAGCTAAAAAAAAACCAAAAAAACCAAAAAGCATTGTATTAAATAGTTCATTGTATTATAATACATGTATTATAATAATATTATAATAATATAATATAATAATATTATAATAATTATTATAATTCATGTATTATAATACATTGTATTAAATTGTATTAAATATTAAGTTGATCATTAATAACATAGTTTTATTAATTTTTACTAATTATCTTGGGCTAGAAAATTAATAATAACCTATTTTTTAATGCTTTGTCACTGATTTAAGTTATTCAGTTCTTTGGCTCCTCCTTGGAAGCCTAAAATATTAGAAGTGTATTAAATGTATCTAAAAATGAAAAATACAAGATTGAAAAATTTACCCAGCTGTTTGTGTTTAAATAAAGATTACCTTTCTTTTATACTTTTCAACCATGCTTTTTATGTCCTGAATTTACAGAGTTCTTTTGACTGATCTGCAGAGTCCTAACATGTATGTTTTATCTGTACCTAGCCACAATTACTCCTTTTCTTTATACGGACTAGCTTTTTGAAAACAGTAATAATTTAAATACTTAAATATTTTCCCAAAGTGTATAAAATGCATATATTTGAAGTTTTTAGCTCCTATACATATTTCATGATTTATTCTGAATCAAAGTATTTGCAAAGGTCTTAACACTGACACTTCAAGTTTACAAATTCAAATGATAACTGGCAATGGGGGGAAAGAAATAGAGAGCACATATGGTAAAATAATTACCAATATATTGATAAGTATTTTAAATTTTATTTGAAGTTGTTTCCTTTTCATATATTTTATGATCACAATGATGTAAAGCATTAGGCTCATAAAATATGAAAAATTATATTCCGTTAGTTTTTTCTTTTGTCAATTTAAATGAAGAATATATCATTAACACTTTTCAAATTTTAGGTACATGTATATCAATATGATGTGCATTTTTATTTTTCTAGTAGATGTAAGCTTTTACATGCTATAGATATTTTTTGTCAAGCTCATATAACTGATACTGTTTTTAACCAAGGATGTTCATCACAGAATTGTTTACAAATGTAGAAAACATTGAAAAACATATAATAAATCTCATTTAATAATGAACTACTTAGATAAGATATAGTACATCCACACAATGGAATACTATGTAGTCACTAATTGATGATACAGATTGGTATTTATTGACATGAACAGATGGTTATGTTTTGGCTTAAAATTAAAAAAAATACATATAGTATGTTTTCTTTTCTTTTGTAAAACAGTGTGTGTATACATAGGGGGAAAGGCATGAAAAGATAAGCACACAGTTAAAAAGTTAATAATGGTTGTCTCAGAACTCTGGGAATTTTACTTCCTTTTTTGTAAGTTTCTGCATCATTGTATTTGTTTTACAAGGAGCATGTATTATGTATATAATCAATAAAAACCATAGTTTCCATTTGAAAATGTTTGATAATGAATATACAAGTAGTCTGTAGATAAACCGTTACATGAAAACAAGTTATTCTCATTATTTTATGGGCAAAGAGTTAAAAGAAGTCTTAAAAATTATATATTTATATTGTTTTATATATGAAAGATTTCTACATAAAGTAATAAAAATCAACTGAGAATAGAGATAAAATAGTTTCTTATGATTGGATTTGTGGTATGAGTGAATGCTATTTTTTAAAAGTAATAATTTAAGTTTTACATAAGTTAAGTATTTATTTCTCTAACTCCAAAATGTATTTGAACTGGCATATATCAAAAGAAAGACAATCCCAAAGAAAAGGGCTTCCCAGTTGGTGCAGTAGTAAAGAATCTGCCTGCCAATGCAGGAGACACAAGAGACATGGGTTTGATCCCTGGGTTAGGAAGACCCCCTGGAGTAGGAAATGGTGACTGACTCCAGTATCCTTGCCTGGAAAATTCCATGGACAGAGGAGCCTGGTGGGTTACAGTCCACGGGGTCCCAAAGAATCAAAAATGACTGAGTGACTGAGCAGAGCAGCAGCACAATCCAAAAAAAAATAAGAAAATAAGTGTAATACAGATTGAAAGGTAGATGGGTGTGGACAAGAGGGAACTACAAGTGAAACACAGAAAATCCATAATATAGAAGTCACAGGGCAAATAACATAACTGCAACATAGAACAGAATATTTTGTCATAACTTCCAAGCAGCTAGACAGAAAGAGAACCACACTGGATTAAGAGATCTCATATGATAGATGGAGGCATGCCACTTAATCAAGAGAGAGGACCTTTTCCTTAATTTTGAAACATCTGTGAAATTATCTTGTGAATATATTCAGCAGTCTACAAGACGTAATGACAAGTTTAATAGAAGTTGTTCTTCAAAGTAGTTTTCAACATCATTACATGGAATGTTTACCTTCTATATTGACATGACAAAGGCTGAAGGTAATCCTAAAATTAACTATAGACAAAGGCAATTCAATGTTGTTATTCACCCTTTTTGTTAATTAAACACAATCCAAATATACCTACTAAAGAGTTTAGCAAAACAAGCGATAAGAATGCTCCTTAGCCTGTCTTCAAATATTAAATCTCTCAGGAAAGGTTTTTAAGATGAAACATAGAATTTAAAAAATCAATCTTTAAAGTGTTAATCTAATGTACTGATTGATAAAGTACCAAAATGTGTATTGAAGTTATAAAGTTAATAGTGGGAACTCTCAAAACTTACTAAAAACCACTATGAAGTCTGTGGTATGCCCACAGTATAATAAAAAAGGGAAAAATATAAATAAATAAAAAGAGAAAAAAGCTCACATCTTTAAAAAGGAATATTCATTTTAAATAATAATTTAAAGTAAAATTATGCATAAACATTAACTGGATCACATACACTTTCCCCTGCTCTACTGATTTCTCAAAAAGCAAGTTAGAAGTTTTCACTGTGATAGACTCAGATGTAAGGACCTAATAGAAATGAAATTTAGTAGTATTAGTGAAATAAGGAAGGACATATTCTCAATTACCTCACCTTGATTGGTTTAGGACAAGTGTGTGGAGGAATAAACTTTATTCTATATATTCCTAAGGATATTATATCGAAAAATAGTACAAAATGACAGTTTTACAATTAGAAATTATGTTTTTCACTAAAATGAACAAGGCTTTCTGGTTTCACTTTTTTTTTTCCAAAAGAAAGTATTCACTTAAAAAAACCTGTTAATTGACATAAAATAACCTCTTATCACAAAGTAGCCCAAACTAAGTAGGCACCAGCTTAAGGCTGAAACAAATTGAGCATTCTTATCCTTACCACCTGCGCCTGGCCTGGCCCAGAGTGACCTGCAGGGGCTTGGAGCCCACTATGCGACCATTCATCTCATCTACTGCTTTGGTAGCCTCTTCAAAAGAGGAGAAGCAGACAACACCAAACCCTTTGCCTTGCCCCACCTCCACCATCACTTTGGCCCGACTAATTGATCCAAAGGAAGAAAATTCCTCCTTCAGTTTTTCATCATCAATGGTCTCGTCCAGGTTCTTAATATAGATAGGCACCCCTGGAGGCCGACTTTTTTCTTTTAATCTCAGCCGCTCAAATCTTCTCCTTAACTCAGCAAGACGTTCAATTTTCTTCTGTGCTCGCCCTACATAAAGCACTTTCCCATCGATGGACTTTCCATGCAGGTCTAACACAGCCTTTTGGGCAGCCTCATGTGTCTCATATCTGACAAATCCAAAGCCTTTCGATTTCCCACTGGCATCTCTTATTACTTTAACACTCTCAGTTGGCCCATACTCACTGAAAAGTTCCTTCAGTTTGTCGTCATTCATATCATCTCCAAAGTTTTTAACGAAAACATTAGTGAAAGTCGCTCTATCCCTAGTTCTAACTTCAGCAGCCCTCTCTTCCGGAAATTTGAATCTGCCCACATACACCTGGCGGTTGTTGAGCCGCACTCCGTTCATGTGCCAGATGGCCCTATTGGCAGCGGCCAGGCTGTCAAAGTGTACATAGGCATAACCCTTAGAGCCGTTGTCATCGCATACGACTTTGCAGGAGAGAATGCTCCCAAAAGCTGAAAACAGGTAAAAAAGGGCCCTGTTGTCAATGGATTTGTCCAGGTTTTTGATGAATATATTTCCAATTCCAGACTTTCTTAAGCGGTCATCTGGCTGAGACCACATTAGACGGAATGGTTTGCCGTTAATCAAATCAAAATTCATGGTGTTCAGTGCCCACTCAGCATCCGCAGGAAAGCGGAAGTTAACGTAGCCATAGCCCAGGGGGCTGCGGGTCACCGGGTCACGGCAGATTCGGGTGAAGCGCAGAGGTCCAGCAGGCCTGAACTTTTTATATAACATGTCCTCGGTAACATCTGGGTCCAAGTCACCCACATACAGGGCAGCCTTGAGGTACTTCTTTTTCTTGCCAGCAGGATTAGGCTCCCCACTCCCCATCTCTCTGAGCACAGGGAGAAGGCTCTCTTGGGAGAGACAAAAAGGCTGCTTTCTCTAAGCTATGGGCCAAACAGCTGTTCACAAACAGAATAAAGCCAAGGCGAAGAAAGCTAAAAGCAGACTCAGAATCACTGTTGAGGCTGAGAAAATGAAGTTCAGAAACAGCTGGTCAGCAGGCTCAGAACAAACGCATCAGACAAAAAAGCACCCCAATAACGAATCCATTCTCCCTAAGGGGGCTTAGAATTTCCACCCATTCAGATCTAAAAGCAGTTTCAAAAGCTAGTAGTAGGAGAGAAAATGTCTCTTTTCCCGCTAAATAGTAAGAAATCACCAAGCAGCTGGCTGGCTCCCCACATCTAGCCTTGCCGACAGAGGCCTCACGACCAATTTTCTGCATAAAAATAGGCCTCAAGCTCCCGTGGGTTTAAAATGATAACAACAAGGGCAGGGGCCGAACGTGTATTCCTCCGCCGGCTGTCTGGCCGGTTTCAGGCGGGCTGGCGGCTCACTAAGGCCGCACTACGAGACTCAGCGTCAGCGAAAGGGCAAACTGGACACTTGGTGCGCTGCGGCCAGGCGGGCAGGCTGCAAGCAGCGAATCGCACAGAGAGACAGACAGACAGACACACGCGCGGGGGACCGGAGACCGCCCAGATACCCAAGATGCCCACTGGGTACGGACCGAGTGACGCGCGGTGATTTCGGCAGCCTGAGACTCGCGGCGGGTCCGGAGGGACTGGCGGACGCGCACTGGGTCAGCTCAGACGCGAGGCGGTTCCGGACAGATGCGGGGCGGAGTCAGGAGAGAAGGGCAGATGCCCGGCGGGCGGGCAGAGCGCAGACGGATGGACAGGGATTGTTCCCTGCAGGACAGACCGACCCAGGGACTAAAAAGCCTGTAGCTGTGGTGGGGCGAGCGGGCGGGCGGGGCGCAAGGAAACCCGGAACCGTGCTAAGGAACTTCCCGCTTCTTCCCGCTTGCTCTCTGCCAAGATGTAAAAAAAAAAAAAGAGAGAGAGAGAGATTGAAAAGGTTTCTAGATTTTTTCTTAGTTTAAAAAAATTATTTATTAATTTAAAATATTACGTTTAGGCTGCTGACCCCACAATCAAGTCAAAGGAGGTGACAATCTAGGTGGAGAGAACTGTCAACTTGTTTTTGTTTTTTTTTTTTTTAAAAACGAGTTCCCTAAATCATTTCTGCTTAGGAAATAAGATATAGGTTGCATACTTTCCTGAGTGCTTTGGAAAGTCAATTGACAGCTGATCTTGACTTCCAATCCAGTACTAAATGATCACAGGGTCAAATGAAACACATGCCCATTTTGTGGTTGGCTTTTATTCTTACTCCACTAAACTTCAGCATAATGGTAGCATTATCCCGAGGTAATAGGCAGCGTTCTTTTTGCTGCTCCAGTAATATTAAGGAGCAGGAGTATTAATAGTATAATATTAAGGAGTAATAATAATATGAATTATTAGAGAGCCATAAAATAACTTTTAATGGTACTTAGTGAGTGGCTCAGCTGGTAAAGAATCCGCCTGCAATGAGGGAGACTTGGGTTCGATCCCTGGGTTGGGAAGATCACCTGGAGAAAGGAAAGGCTAATCACTCCAGTATTCTGGCCTGGAGAATCCAATGGACTATCCATGGGGTAGCAAAGAGTCTGACATGACTGAGCAGACTTTCAGTGCCAGAAAACGTTGAGGATGTGCTGCTTCCATAATCACGAATTACAAAATCTTAAAGAGATAAAAGCTGTAATAATGTTCACAGGTGAAATAAACATGAAATATATAAGCACTTTACATAATTAGTAATTTCAACTTGAATTGTCAACTTTAAAGTATTGCAGGGAACAATGCTATAAGATTAGACTCAACTCAGAACTTTTCCAAGATCTCTCTTTAGAATTTGTGGGAAACTGGGAGAGGACTGTTACCTAATCTTCAGAAAATCGCCAATGTCTGTAATGCACAACTCAACTAGCCCATTCTTCAAGACTTCCCCTCAAAAAGAAAATCCAAACAAAACATGTCAGTACAGTTAGACTGGAAAGGATCCTGGGGAAAAATATGCAAGAGATGTGTGTGTGTGTGTGCTCAGTGAAGTCCTGGCTGACTCTTTGCGACCCGGGGGACTGTAGCCCTCCAGGATCCTCTGTCCATAGGATTTTCCAGGCAAGAACATTGGAGTTGGTTGCCATTTCCTCCCCCAGGGGATCTTCACCCCAAAAGGTGTTGTATTAAAAAGACATTCCTAGAATAAAAGGATAAATTCATGTGTTGTTTCATTTTTTACAGTTTCTACTAGACAGTATAGTTGACTGAAGATGACAGTTTACCCTCATTATTTACTCAAATGCTTTGTAATTTTCTTTACTGAGCTCTTTTGCTTGTATTTTCTAGGATTCTTGCTTAGCTAAGACATGGAGACTGTGAGAAAAAGCAAATACAAATTAAAAAAAAGTTATAAAGATAGACTAATATAAAAGCTGGTCTTAAATAGCACCACATTGAACCACATGTAGAAACACTTGTGAACACGTGCTTACTTTATTGTCCTTAGAACATAAACTTTATAAACATCTTTCCTCATAATTAACAATGGGCTAGAATTTGTTTTCATTTTTCTGATTTAAAACTATTACTTTACCAAAAATGCTGTATTAAAATAACAACATAAAGCCAAGAGAATAATTCCCACAGTATAATTGCTAAAATAAAAATCAATATTTTATTTATGTAATGATTTAAATGCTGTCCTTATTCCAATTCATTTGTATATATTTTCTCTAATAGTATAGATTAAATGGGGTTGTTGAAAATAATTAGTTTCAAAATCACGTCTTCTCTATACTTAACAGTCATTTGGGGGTCATTACAATATAAACACCTAGGGCTCCCCAGGTGGCGCTAGTGGTAAAGAACCTGCTTGCCAGTGCAGGAGATATAAGAGATGGTCGGTTTGATCCCTGGGTTGGGAAGGAAATGGCTAACCCACTCCAGTATTCTTACCTGGAGAATCCCATGGACAAAGGAGCCCAGTGGACTCCAGTGCATAGGGTTGCAAAGAGTTGGACATGACTGAAGCAACTTAGCACAAAATAAAAAAATATATATATAGAGAGAGAGCATTTTATCAGATCAAAAATCAGAAATTTAGAACTGTTGTGAAATAAATGAATTTTAATAGAGTTCCCTCTGCAAAGCAGAGGTTTATGGGGAAAAGAGAATCATTTTCATCTATAATTTATTTACTCATTTTAATATTTACATTGAAAACTGTCTCTGGAATAAAAATCGGATGTAGGACATTTCTCTGACATTTTTATTATATATGAAAGGTAAGTTTATAGTCTACATAAACCTGATTCATATGTTAAATCCATTAAAAATCCCTGCCCAGATTCCTAAGGCAGTTGATTGAGCATATTTGAGTCTTTCTAAATCTGAGAAGTATTTTGCATGAAGAAGATCTCCTGGACAACTGGCATTCTAAGTGCATCCCACCAAATTGTTATGTACAGTTGGTAGTAATGTGTCAGCATGAGTGGAAAAAGAGAGTTGGAAATTTATATTTCTCAGCCTTGTCTTAGCAGGCACTTGATCCTGTGTTTCCCATTAAAAGTCTGACTTGTGCAAGTTGCTGGGACTTCACAATGAAAATTAACTTCCTGCTGTCTTGAGTGAAGTCTGGGATGACTGAACAAAATATTATAAAGTAAAACCTGTATTAAATAGGACTTGTCTCATATTTTTTGGACAAAGAAAGGAAAATTGAAAAAAAAAAAGGCATTAAGAATGTAGTATCAGCAGGCATTTCTACAATAAATTTTGGAGCCAGTAATAGTTCTTTTACTCTATTTCCAAGTATTTTATCCTGATACATGAGTATTCATGCTCTGGATGATAACCCTGAAGGCCCTTTGATAATACTTATTATCATAGAAAGATTAAACTGTGTTTATTAGAATGTACTTACTAAAGTGAGAAAGTAAATAAAACTGGAAACGTTTCAACAGAATTTACAATGAGACAGGATTTATGCTAGATTGTCAATAAATTAGAATATCACATTCCTCAATATTTAACCAAAATTTCAGTATTTTAAATTATAATGCTATAGTTTAGATATTTATGCAAATGCTGTAGCTATAGTTCATACATTTATGGCTCTAGGTAGTTTAGTGGAAATTAATATGCTTTTAAATGAAATAATTTTATATAAAACTCTAAATAGACTGGGTTTTGAATGCCTAGTAATTGCATAAATTTACATTGTAGTATTCCATGGGTTCATTTTAAACGAATAGGATCCAATTAAAAGAGCACCATAAGGAGACACCTAACTAAACCTAAATATGTGTTAAGTTGTTTAAGTTGTTAAGTTGTTAAATAAGCACAGTGGTAAAATACAGCCTTGTCATATTCCTTTCCTAATTTTGAACCAGTCACTTGTTCCATGACCAGTTCTAACTGTTGCTTCTTGACAAGCATACAGGTTTCTCAGGAGACAGGATTTTAATTTTTTTTAATATATTGAACATATATTTATTTAATGTTATTAAATAAACATTTTTTATGCTTTTAATACTCAGGTTTATTCACAGTTGGATGCATGATTTTTTAAAATTCAACAGGGATTTATTTAATGAGAGAAATGAAAAACTGTTAAACTTTCAGATGTAACAACTGGGTTTTAAAGAGGCAAAAGAACCAGAGATCAAATTAACAACTTTGTTGGATCATGCAGAAAGGAAGGGAGTTTGAGAAAAACATCTATTATACTCCTGCTTCATTGACTACACTAAAGCTTTTGACTGTGTGGATCACAACAAACTGTGGAAAATTCTTAAAAAGATGGGAATATCAGACCACCTGATCTGTCTCCTGAGAAACCTGTATGTGTGTCGAGAAGCAAGTTAGAACCAGAAATGGAACAAGTGACTGATTCAAAATTGGGAAAGTATGACCAGGCTATATTTTGTCACTTTGCTTATTTAAATTCTGTGCAGAGTATGGGGCTTTCCAGGTAGTGCTAGTGGGTAAGAACCTGCCTGCTAATGAGGGAGACATAAAAGATGTGGGTTTGATCCCTGGGTCAGGAACATTGCCTAGAGGAGGACATGGCAACCCACTCTAGTATTCTTGCCTAGAGAATCCCATGGACAGAGGGCCTGAGGGACAGAGGACAGTCCACAGGGTCGCACAGAGTTGGACACGACTGAAGTGACTTAGCATGCACACATGCAGAGTACATCATGTGAAGTGATGGGCTGGATGAATCACAAACTGGAATCAAAATTGCTGAGTGAAATATCAACAACTTGGGATATGCAGATGATATCACTCTAATGGCAGAAAGTGAAGAGGAACTAAAGAACCTCTTGATGAAAGTGAAAAAGGAGAGTGAGAAAGTTGGCTTGAAACTCAACATTCAGAAAACTAAGATCATGGCATCTGGTCCCATTACTTCATGGCAGATAGAAGGGGGTTAAGGTGGAAGCAGTGACAGGTTTTATTTTCTAAAGCTCCAAAATCACTGCAGATGGTGACTGCAGCCATGAAATTAAAAGACACTTGCTCCTTTTAAGGAAAGCTATGACAAATCTAGATAGTGTATTAGAAAGCAGAGACATCACTTTGCTGACAAAGGTGTGTACAGTCAAAGCTATGGTTTTCCCAGTAGTCATGTAGAGATGTAAAATTTTACCAGAAGGCTGTTTGCTGAAGTATT